TGGGGCAGATGATTTCCACATTACTCTCTCTCTACTTTGATCACATTCAATATTTTGGCACCAGACCCACCATTATTATTTGGGATTTTACCCCAACATTCAGATCTGCTGAAAAGGCAACAGTAGACAATTTGTTTTCTATTGCTGGTTATGAATAACATATGATGTCATGTGGCTGCAGTAGTGGCCGCGTGATTTTGAAATTCCGAAATTTTAACACTTAAATCTGGAGGGATTTCTTCCCAAACCTGCTGGGTTCCGAGATTTACTCCTGAGTCTCTGGGATCATGGCCGTTAAGCAGCTTGATCAGGAGCCAGAAAGGCCATTCGTGGGTGACGACTTGGGGTCTTGTTGCGGTGGGGAGAACAAGACTGGCTCCACCCCCATCCCGTGAGGCCCAAAATGTCTCGTCACTGTGGACCCAAACCTGACTGTCCAATGGCCTCTGGAGGATGACGGCCACCAAGCCGCCAGGGGGAAGCAGGTGGAGGGACAACACCCTTTCCCTCCTGGGGTGGTCCAGAGACAGTAACCTACTGCGTGGTCCAGACGCATTTCTGCCAAAAGTTGCTGGGTTTTGAGATTTGTTTCTGAGTCTCTGGGATCATGGCCATTAAGCAGCTTGATCAGGAGCCAGAGAGGCCATTCGTGGGTGACGACTTGGGGTCTTGTTGCGGTGGGGAGAACAAGACTGGCTCCACCCCCATCCCGTGAGGCCCAAAATGTCTCGTCACTGTGGACCCAAACCTGACTGTCCAATGGCCTCTGGAGGATGACGGCCACCAAGCCGCCAGGGGAAGCAGGTGGAGGGACAACACCCTTTCCCTCCTGGGGTGGTCCAGAGACAGTAACCTACTGCGTGGTCCAGACGTATTTCTGCCAAAAGTTGCTGGGTTTTGAGATTTATTTCTGAGTCTCTGGGATCATGGCCGTTAAGCAGCTTGATCAGGAGCCAGAGAGGCCATTCGTGGGTGACGACTTGGGGTCTTGTTGCGGTGGGGAGAACAAGACTGGCTCCACCCCCATCCCGTGAGGCCCAAAATGTCTCGTCACTGTGGACCCAAACCTGACTGTCCAATGGCCTCTGGAGGATGACGGCCACCAAGCTGCCAGGGGGAAGCAGGCAGAAGCACAGCACCCTTTCCCCCCTGTGGTGGCCCGGTGACAGTAACCTACTGCGAGGTCCAGACACATTTCTTCCAAAAGCTACTGGGTTTTGAGATTTGTTTCTGAGTCTCTGGCCATTAAGCAGCTTGATCAGAAGCCAGAGAGGCTGTTCGTGGGCGATGACTTGGGGTCTCGTTGGGGTGGGGAGGACAGTACTAGTTCCACTCCCATCCCATGAGGCCCTGTGTGTCTCATCACTGCGAGCCCAAACCTGACTGTCCAGTGGCCTCTGAAAGATGGTGGCCACCGGGCCGCCAGGGGGAAGAGGCCAAGGCACAAAACCTATTTCCAGCTGGAGTGGCCCAGCCCCAGTAACCCACTGCAGGGACCGGATCCATTTCTGCCAAAACCCGCTGGATTTCGAGATTTGTCTCTGAGTCTCTGGGATCATGGCCATTAAGCAGTTCAATCAGGAACCAGAGAGGCCTCGCCTCCAATTATATAGGTGAGCCGGAGGTGGTTTGTGGGTGTGTTTCCCACATACCTAACTTTTGGCCATTTACTTTCTTGGTAAACTTTGCCCCAAGTTTTTGTGGTCTGGCTAAAGGCACAGCAGCAATTTTGGGGTATCTGGAAGTCTGAAGGCGCCATGAGACTGCTGATGTACTTGCCTCACAGGTACAGATTGACCTGCTGGCAGCATCATACCCCCGTGGAGGGATTTCTTGCCAAAACCTGCTAGGTTTCGAGATTTGTTCCTGAGTCTCTGGGATCATGGACATTAAGCAGCTTGGTCAGGAGTCAGAGAGGCAGTTTGTGGGTGGTGACTCGGGGTCTCATTGGGATGGGGAGGAAAGGACTGGCTCTACCCCCATCCCATGAGGGAGGGCCCCTATTTTCGCGTCATTCTGGGGAGCTCAGATTTTTAGAAAGACTTCCAAAGGAAGAAAAATACAGACTCTGAGATGGAAATGGGTGGATGGGATGGAGAGGGGTTCATAGAAAAGGAACGAATATCTTTAAGCACATCCCTAATCCCATGGTGGGGGGGGGGTGCTTTTACTTGTTTCACATTAATCATTCCTCTGAGAATGGTAGTGAAGTATTAAGCAAAGAGTTTCAGAGATGGCCCCTGGAAAGGCTCTGGAATAAGGCTTGCTTTCACTTAGTCCAGAAAGAACTTTGGCTCAGAAAAATGAAGGAGGAAGTGAAACAGAATATTCCAGAATCACAAACTGGTCTTCAGCTTTTTTTCTTTCCGGTTCATACCCAACAATGCTCAGAGGTCACTCCTGGCTCGGTACTCAGGAATTACTCCTAGCGGTGCTCGGGGGACCATATGGGATGCTGGGAATCGAACCTGGGTCGGCCGCTTGCAAGGCAAAATCCCTACCCACTGTGCTATTGCTCCAACCCCTCAGCTATCTCTTTCATTTCTGGGGTCAGCTGTGGGCTGCAGGATCTTGTCACCACATAGGAGGGTGACTTTCCTGCTTCTTGTCAATTGTCAGTGACCGTGCAGAGAAGGGGCTTCGGAACACGTTTGTTCTCCTTCTTATGGATAAGAAGGCTTGGTTCAGAGAGGGGGTATAGGTCACACAGCTCCGGGGTGCCGCACGGATGGGGATGGGAATCTCTGGGTGGGGGAAGCTGAGTTTGTAATGGAGGGCCTGGGACATGCTGGTGGGCTGGGATCAGGGGCTCTGGGAAAATCCCTGGCTGATCTTGGCTGGTGGCAGAGATCAGGGTTCCTGGTTATTCCTGGGACCGTGTTGGGGCTTTGCTACCTTGGGCTGGGCATTATTCTGGATCAAAGGAATCAAGAAAAAAAAAAAGGTGACTGCCGATGGTAATCATTTTGGGATTTTAGTCACTTTCACTCACCAAGAATTCATTTTTAATTGTAGATATAAGGGCAGTGGACCGAACAAGAAAAATCACAAGCCGAGGAGTATGTCAGAGGCAGAATCCTAAGGAAACGACATCAAGCAGAAGGCTGCTTGCTTTATATGTAAATATATAAAATGTGTGTGTGCTTGGGCCACCTGGAGCTCAGGGGATCACGTGGCAGAACCCAGAGCTCCCACAAGCAAAACATAATCTCCAGCCTTTGAGCTACCACCTTGGCCCAACTTCTTTGACATTAGGGTTTTATAGGCGTGTACAATAAGCAGATAAGAGAGAATGTGGTTACTCTATTTTTTGGCGGGTGGGTGGGTGGGTGGCAGGGTTCTACAATATTATCACCTTCTGGTTTTGTGTCTGGAGCTGAGTTCCAGGCCGCACCTAGTGCTGAGCTATGTGTGATGAGAATATGCCCAGCTGTGGGCACATTGGCTTCAGTTGGATATGGAGGCTCTAGGAGACAGATCGCTACAAGGTTAAGTGTTAAAAACTGACTAGGCTGTTTCATTCGGGGCAACCCAGAGAGGGGCGGGTAAAGTCCCTCCTCGCCCCAACGGAGCCAGCCCCAGCAGCCTATAATCTCCAGAACTCCACCGCCCCCATGCTCACAGCTGATCTCCACACGCTCAGATGAGCCTCACCCATGACTGAATCTGTTCCTGGACCAAACAGCCGCCTTTGCAGCCTTGCAACATCTCATACTTCAAACCACCAGTACACCAAGAGTAGCACACCACGTTTGACTGGGAAGGCAACCAATCTTAGGGGGTAATATGTTTATGCAGATATAGATATAAGCACACATGGCTCAACCTTTAACAACATGTTACTAACCTCTTGTAGGAGGGCTTAATGGTTCCTGGGTGAAACACAACAATCTTCACACACTTTAAGAAATCTTTTTTGTCTCATTTAGTGGATAAATTATTTTGGTTCTGCTTTGGGGGCAGAGTTTGGGGTTTGGGATGGAAATACGGTGGCGGGACTGGTGTTCAAATATTAAATATAATCAAATATTGTGAAAAATTTTATAAAAATAAAAAAAATTGACCATGAATATGTAAGCTGGATTCTATGAGCTGGTTGCCTACTATAAAGACTTTTTTTTTGTCTCCTCCTGTTTGTTGCTGCTTTTATTGTTGCTTTGATGACCAGGCTCTCACACACTTGGTTTTGGTGCACAGAAGATGCACACTTTGTGGGGAAGCCCAGCGTACACCAGCAGCACTGCGGGAATTTCACTTGGCTTGTGGGGTGGTGACAGGGATCAAGCCCTCAGCCATATGCCTGAAAAGTAGATTCTCTACCACCCATTGCTGGGCCCTGGTTGTCTACTTTGAAAATTAAAATAGTAGTGGGGCTGGAGAGATAGGAGAATTAGTAGGGCACTTGCCTACAATGCAAGTTGGATCCCTGGCATCCTATGTGGTCCCCTGAGCACTGTCAGAGTAATTCCTGAGTGCAGAGCCAGGAGCAACCCTTGAACATTGTTGAGGGTGGCCCCAAAACAAAAACAAACCACATTAAAAGCTGGAAAACAAACAAAAGATCCTGGGTCTTCTGGATGCAAAGCATATGCTCAACCCTGAGGGCATCTCCCTGGCCTCCTCCTTTGAAAAGAGTAAAAATAATAAAAGAAACTATCAAAGTAATACTGCTTTATTATATTACATACATTTCAGGAGCACCACATTATAAATCTAGTCTGTACAGGTTATCTTTTGTTTGTCACCCAAAATGTTGCTTCTATGCTTTACTATCTACTTTTATTCAAATCTAGACAACTGAACACCTAAGCTTTGTTTGTGTGCATCTCAATGAAGACACGTGCAATTGTGAAAACTGACTCCGCCATGTTTCTACAAGTACCAAACTTCCCTTATAATTTGCTACATTATTGACTTCTAACTTTGGGGGAAATCACAGACACTATAATCCACAAAACAAGAATATTTCTTGGAGAGAAAAAAGATGGGCTGTGACTTACCTGTGCGTTGTCTCCACCTTCCAGTTGTCAAAAAAGGGGGAGAGAACCAAGGGCTGGAACTTTTTCCAGTTCATCACTCCAGGAATGATGTCCTGAAATGAGAGTTGCAGGGGTGCTACTTGTCGCCTGGTGAGGAAAACGTTCAGGAAGGATTTCCCCATTTCACTCAACTGACTTTTTTTTTTTTCAGATAAAAATGCAGTTCTCAAATATGTTGATTCCTTCAGGGTGAGAGAATTTTCTGAATCTAAAAAGACAGCTTTTCCAATACAGACATATAGAACAACCCAATAGGAAATTAAAATAAGGACAAGGGAGAATACTTGCCCAGTCCCATCCATCAGACACATAAGCAACGCACCCTGGTGATGGAGGGAGGATTGGGTGTGACAGTATGTTCTGGTGGCTGTGAATGTGATGCAAGTGCAACATGCAAGAAGGCCATCAATGAATGGCTCTCCACGCAGGCGGGAGCACCTAAAAGACACAGGAGCAGTGTGGTGGGAGCTGGCAGGAGGCCACAGGCTCAGTCACAGGCAGAACAGAGGATAGGGTTGGTGGGAGATTAGGGGGAGAGGCAGGTGGCTAGTCCTGAAGGGCCTCGAGGGTCAAGTGAACAGCTGGGACCATGAGGAACTTTCAAACTGGACAGCGAAAGGCTGAGACTTCAGGGGAAGGAAGGTTCGTGGGGATGAGTAAGGGGAAGGGGCGCAGTGGAGGGCCATGAGGTGGAGGAGAGAGTCTCAAGCAGGCTGGTGGGGCCCAGTGATGCCTAGAAGAAAAAAGAAAGGAGAGGAAGGCACGAGGCTTGCAGGGCCCATGGCACAGGTCATAGGAGCAAGAGGCGAGCAGGAAACACAGGAAGAGAAGGCTGTCTCAAGTGCCGGAGGCAGAAGGAGGACAGAGATTATAATCTGAATTATGGATCTGCTGAGTTGGCTTTGCTTTGCCGTTTTGGAGTGGGCAGAGGTTGGAGGTCTCAACAGTGGTGCTCGGGACTTACTCCTGGCTCTGCTCAGGGTCCCCTGGCAGTGCTCAGGGGACCATAAGCATTGCAGGAGATGGGACCAGGGTTGGCAGTCTTTGAGATTAGCAATTTACCCCCTGGAATTATCTTCCTGCCCTGGGTTTATTGAGTCTGGAAGACTTAAAGCCAACTTCCAAGAGATGTCCCCGGCTGTTCTGCTCAGGCGAGTTCTCTTGGGGGAGAAAAGAAAGATGCCTGGAGCCTTGTCCTAACTGGACATTTGCCACATCGCTGCCATGTCCATTCTGCAGTTTGTATACTTCTTGGGGTCTAAAACAGAGGAGGCCAGACTGGGGATTGTCCTCACCACATCAGAGTTTTTCCCTCCACGGTGGAAACAGGAATAAAACAGAGATCAGGGATAGTCTTCCCCGGGAAAGGGGAGATAATGCTGGGGAAAGGGCAGCATGCAGCCTGTGGTGAGGGGGTGGGGGGATTAAGGTGAGGGGAGGGGAGAGTTGCGTTTCCCCAGTACCACTGAAGACTGGGGGAGGCTGGGGTGCCCCAGACACTCTGGGACTGCTTTCAAACACTTCCGTGGTGGCTGCAAACCTTCTCAAATCCAGCTAAGACCCTCTGCCCCCGCCCCCCCCCCCCCTTCCCTGCGGTCCAGCCCCAGCTCTGCCTTGAGGTGAGCCTGGGATGGCATTACCGTGTGATGGAGAAACTGCTTCTGTGTGAACGGAATGCTGGAGTTGGGGTGGCACTCTTTGGTGAACTTGTACTTGGGGTGAGGACACAGATGATAATCTATGGAGGTTTCTACATAGGTCAGTGGGATCTTTGCAGCAAATACTCCGGGAGCGGGATTCTGCAGGGGGGAGAGAGAGAGAGAGACAGAGAGGAGAAACCAGCCCAGATTTGGGATTATTTGCCAGTTTCCCCAGGTGACACCCAGGGTCTTCCGGGGCACGCTCAGTTACCTATCAACTTGTCTGCAAAAGGAGAGCAGAGGTGTTTGCAAGCTGACAGCATTTTAAATGTCACCGTTATTCATAAATGTCGCCTTTCTAATTCAGAAGCTTCATTACATACCATGTGGATTCACAAAAACTCACAAGGAAGGAAATTTAATGGAAATGCCAGCTTAGGATAGCTTAAAGTATTTGTTTTCAAATTTGATGAATTGAGGGGAATTATTAAATAAGCAAACTGGTTTTTGAAAGCAAATGACTTCTGGTCTTGAAAACAAAAATAGCTTCTTTAAAATTACTTTAAAGAGAAGACAAAGAAGAGCGTGACATTTGCTATGCCAGGAAATGCCAACATTTAACATTGTTTAGATAATGTTTTTAGTTCAGGAGGGCTCCATTTGGACGTAATATCTGGTTTTAAGAGAGATCCTGTTGTGTTGTTTTTTAAACCAATTTTCCAGCAGCACCAATGGAGGCATAGAACAAGCAGTTATTCCAAAAATAAGAAAATAGTCTTTTTTTCCTATTCCTTCTAGGGCTTGCCCAACACAAATCTCAGTCTTGGCCCATTCAACAAAGCGTTTAACCACTCATTAATTTCAGATGTTTAAGAACTAAGTTGAGATTTTATTCTTTTTTGTTTGCAAGATTTCCAAAAGCAATTTTAAAAAAATAACAAAACTCCACGGGGCTATTGGAAACCCAATATCACCGCCAAGAAATAAAATGTGTTCCCCATCTCCCCACAAGAAAAAGAAGTGTGACAGCTCCCAGAGGCAGAGAGGAAAAGGCGAGTGGTGGCCAGTGTATGAATGACTTGGTGAGTGAGGAATGCTGGGTAGACGAAGTGAGAGGCTGACTTGGAGGTAAGGTCAGGGAGAGAGATGCGGGGAGGGCCCTTGGCCAAACTCAGGGATGAAAAGGAAGGAGGACAGGGAGGCCATGATGCCCTGTGCCAGACAGTGTAGAAACACTATAATGTAGAAATAGGCAACCCCTTCAATGAGCATCAACAGTTTTGAGTGTGTGTATGTGTGCACATGACGTATGTTTATAAATATACATATAGTTATAACACAACATCAGCTCTCTCTCTCTCTCTCTCTCTCTCTCTCTCTCTCTCTCTCTGCCCTCCCCTTCCTGTCCCAACCCATCCCTCCACTCCTTTTCCTTCTCTTCCTTTTTTGGCAAGGGGTGTGTTGGGGGCGGGTACACCCAGTGGTTCTCAGGGATTACTTCTGATTGCTCAAGGATCACTCCTGGTGGGGCTCAGGTAACCAAAACCAGGGTCTGTTGCGTGCCCGGCAAGCGCCCTACCTGTTATACTATCTCTCCAGCTCCAGATTCCCTTCTATCCCTAGAGCCAAATAGGATGGGGAACAAGAGACACAGAAGCATCTAGACACTGGGTTCTGTCCCTGGAGCTCAGGGTTAGCTCCCTTATTCAGGGACCAAGGTGAAGAGCAAGGGGTGAGACAGAGCAGGGAGGTCTGCGTATAGATGAAGGTGAAGGAAGAAAACACATAGCAAGAAAGCTGGTGGCTGGGGATAGGAGAGGGATGTTTCCTGTGCCCCTGCATGTCCCCCTAATAAGCCAGACAGCTAGAGCGCCCTGGAAGAAGAACCAGAGGGCCAAGGAGAGTATGAGCGCCCCCATCTGGGCTCAGCTGCTCCTCTCACATCAGTTTTCATTTTAGGGTAAAGGTAAAGGTAAAGGCCCTCCCGTTGATCGTCGATTTGCTCGAGCGGGCCCAGTAACGTCTCCATTGGAGACTTTGTTGTTACTGTGTCTGGCATATCGAATACTCTCGGTAGCTTGCCGGGCTCTCCGAGAGGGGCGGAGGAATCGAACTCGGGTCGGCCATGTTGGCCGCTTGTAAGGCGAACGCCCTACCCGCTGTGCTTGGGAATCTTGCATGATACCAACTTTGATTAAACACCCTCCAGTTTGGTCCTGGAGCGATAGCACAGCGGTAGGGCTTTTGCCTTGTGCGCAGCCAGCCTGGCTGAACCGGGCTCGATTCCTCCGCCCCTCTCGGAGAGCCCAGGAAGCTACAGAGAGTATCTCGCCCACATGGCAAAACCTGGCAAGCTACCCGGGACGTATTCGATATGCCAAACACAGTAACAACAAGTCTCAAAATGGAGACGTTACTGAGCCTGCTGGAGCGAAATCGATGAACAACGGGAGGACAATGCTACAGTGCTAATCTAATCTAATTGAATAGAACTTTATTCCTGCATCTTCTCGGATATGTCTTTCTCATATTTGTCCCTTTCTTTTTTCTCCTGGTGAATTTTGGCTCTGCCTTCAAGGATCCCTTTGCTGTTCTGGCCCCAGTATTAGTCTAGTGATCGCCGTCAGAAAGCAGTGGGGCCGTTCACCTTCTCCTGCTGGACTCGGTCAGTGCTGGTGTCATGCTTCCTCCTAGGACACTTCACCAGTTCACTGACTTTGTAGTGGCCTTGCCCAACCTGCACCTCAGTGTCCTTTTGGCTGGCCATGGATCTTTACTTAGGGTTTCTGAATCCTTTAATTTAAAGTTACATTGGTGTCACTGTCCTGTCACTGTCCTCCCATTGTTCATCGATTTGCTTGAGCAGGCCCAGTAACGTCTCCATTGGAGACTTTGTTGTTACTGTGTTTGGCATATCGAATACATCACGGGTAGCTTGCCAGGCTCTGCCGTGCGGGCGAGAACTCTCAGTAGCTTTCCGGGCTCTCCGAGAGGGGCGGAGGAATCGAACTCGGGTGGGCCATGTTGGCTGTGTGCAAGGCAAACGCCCTACCGCTGTGCTATCGCTCCAGCCCACATTGGTGTACTACTAATGTATAACAAACTGCACAGGTTAAGAGTATACTAGTTGATGTTTTGACATAAGTTTTATCTATAAAAACATCACCACCATAAAGATCTCCATTACCCATCCCAGCAAGGTTTTCTTCTTGCCTCTAAAGAACTTTATATTTCTCTTACCTCACCCTCCAAATCCATTCATCCACCCACTCATCCCTACCCCATCACTAATTTGCCTTCTGCCTTTATAGATTACTTCAAATGATGTTCTAGCCTTCCATATACATGAGATACTATAGTTTCCTCTCTTTTTTTGGTCTGATTTATTTTACACACAACAATTATTCTGAGATTCATTTATGTTGTTACATGAATCATAAGATCACTCCTTTTTATTTCCTGAGTGTTAGAATTACATAGTAATATCAACTAATCTGTTGACTTCCTCCCTCCCTCCCTTCCTCCCTCCTTCCTTCCTTCCTTCCTTCCTTTCTTTATTCTTTCTTTCTTGGAAATATAAAGCTACTCTGTGTAGTTTAGCAAAAGTCTTTATTATCATGGGTAAATATCTAGGAACAGAATGGCTAGATCATTTGGTAGGTGTGTATTTACTATTAATTTTTAACTGAACTTCATTAAGAAGTTTCCCACCTGTTTTTCCAAAGTACTTGTACCATTTTACATTCTCACAGCAATCATTAATTTTAGATATACTAACAGATGTGTTTTATTGTGTTTCAGATTTGCATTTAACAGATGATGCATTATTTTGAGCATTTTTTCCATGTGCATTTTTGTTGTCAAACTTCTTTGGGGAAGTTTCTGTTCAAATTTCTCAGCTATTTTTAAATTGGTTCTTTGTTTTTTTTATTCACTTTTAATAGTTTTCCATTCTCTTACCAGATATGTAATATCTAAATATTTTCTTTAAAGTCTACGATTTATCTTCTCATTTACTTCAATTACCTTTTTAGAAGAGCAGGAATTTTGAATTTGCACAAAGACCAAATGAATTCATTCTTAAAAAAATTATGGATTGTGAATTTAGTGTTGTATAAAAGAAATATTTGTATAATCCAAGGTTGCAAAGCTGTGTGATTTAGAGATTTTTATATTTATATTTACATCTATGATTTATTTTGTGTTAATGTTTGTAAATGACATGTGGTACAGGCTGAAGTTCTTTGACTTTTTATTTTTAGCAAACAGATATCCAAATATTCTAGCACTATTTATTGAAAAGACTTTTTTAAATAATTTTCTTTAAACTCTGTCAAAAAATTATATAACTTTTGTCAAAAAATCATCAGAGGGACTGGAGCGCTAGCACAGTGGGTAGGGCGTTTGCCTTGCATGCGGCCAACCTGGGTTCGATTCCCTGCATCCCACATGGTCCCCCGAGCACCGCCAGGAGTAATTCCTGAGTGCAGAGCCAGGAGTAACCCCTGTGCATTGCCAGGCGTGACCCAAAAAGCAAAAAAAAAATCATCAGAATTGGTCATATGCATGCAAATATTTCTGAATTCTCTATTTTTATGATAATACTATGTGTCTTGATCACTGTAGTTTTAGACTAAGCCTTGAGTTCAGTAGTATAACTCCTCAAAGTCCTTCAACTTTTTTCTCTTTTTTAACAAGTGAACTAAAATAGTTTTACTTAAAGAAGTTTATTTATAGAGATATGAGTGAGAAAGAGAAAAAGAGAAAGATAGATGCATGTTCAAGAGAGAATATAGGCGTCTGCAGAGTAGAATAAATCTCCAATTTGTTTTTCACAGGTGTTTTGGATCCTTGAGATACAGTTAGTAGAACTGAGATATAAAGGTGCTGGTCTGGGAGTGGGGAGAGCCTCTGGTTAGAGATGGAGGGACTCAGGCACTCTGAAGGTGGACATTGCATGTGTAATACAGTAATATTGATTCTAGTATTCAAAATAAATAAATCATTAGAAAAGAAAAATATCATAACTGACTAAAAATAACAAAAATAAACCCTGACCCAAAGTTGTTCGATATATTTGCATTCCATACAAATTTTAGAATATGTCTGTCATTTTCTACCCCACAAATCCCCAAATCACATTAATTTTTTAAAAATTTTTATTAGTGAAACATCATGAGGTACAGTTGTAGACTTACAAATTTGTGTGCTTGGGTTTCAGTTATACAATGATCGCGTACCCATCCCTCCACCAGTGCCCATTCTCCACCACCACTGATCCCAGTATCCCTCCCACCCCCCCATCCCCCCCATCCCCCCATCCCCCCATCCCACCCTCCCTCTGTGGCAGGGCATCCCCTTTTGTTCTCTCTCTCCATTTGGGTTTTAAAATCACATTAATTTTTACATACTAATTTTATTGGAATTTTACTCATCTCTTTTTAGTTTGGAAAGAAGAGACATTTTAATAATACTAATCTCCACTAACATTGGTATATTTTTACTTTTATTTATTTTTTAATTTACCTCAGTAGTATGATTTTTCAGGACAGTGTGTATCAATCTCAAATTCTGTTGTTGGGTCTATCCCAATGTATCATATTTTAATATTTTTAAGTAGGCAATTTCTTTTAAAAGTTAAACTTTGAATTATTTGTTGTTAGTCTATGGAAATAGAAGTGACTTTTTGCTTGATGATCTTGTATCCTATAATCTTGATAAATTCATTCCATTTTGGCAAATCTGGGGGGAAATTCCATTGGAGTATCTATATAAACAATAATAAGTTTGTCTGAAATATGAAATACAAATGACCAAAACGCATATGAAAAAATACTCTATATCACTAATCTACCAAATGTAACCTGCCCACACGGCGGAGTCTACCAAATACCAGTAACAATGATGGGTCTCATTCTCCTAAAGAGCCTTGAATATAGCACTAATCTCAGGGCTAGGATGAAGGAGACGTTACTGGGGCCTGCTCGAGGCAATCAACGAATAACAGGATGGTCCTGATTCGTGATATCACTAATCATCAGGGAAATGCAAATCAAAACAACAATGAGATATCACCTCACACCAGAGAGACTGGCACTGGAATACATAACAAAGAACAACAAAGTTTTGGTGAGGATGTGGGGAAAAAAAGGGACTCTCATTCACTGCCTGTGGGAATAGCAACTGGTGCAGCCTGTTTGGAAGACAATACGGTCATTCCTCAAAAAAAGCTTGAAATTGAACTTCCATAGGATCAGCAATCCTACTCCTTGGAATATACCCCAGTGGCCCCAAAACACAATGCAGAAAAGATGTTTGCACTCCCATGTTCATTGCAGCACTAGTCACAATAGCCAGAGTCTAGAAACAACCTAAGACCCCTAGAACAGATTAGTGGATAAAGCCATGGTACAAATACACGAGGGAATTCTACTTGGCCGTAAGAAAAGCTGTAATTGGGGCCAGATAAATAGTTTGCCTTGCACACAATCAAGCCAGGTTTAATCCCTGGCATTCTATACTGTCCTTCAAGCACTGCCAGGAGTAAGTCCTGGGCATAAAGCCAGGAGTAACCCCTGAGCATATGTCAAATATTTTTTCTATTAAAAAAAAGAAAAAAGAAAGAAAGAAAGAAAATAAAGAAAAGAAAATAGGTAGTCATGTAATTTGCTACTACATGGAGAGTATCATGTTGAGTGAAGTTAGAGAGAGAGGGACAGACATAGAATGATCTCTCTCCTGTGTGGGAGGTAAACTTCATAGGGGGAATATTAAATACCCAAACCCAAAACACTGGCTGGACATTTCAAAGAGGATTGACCATTTGATGGCGGTGGTGGCAAAGATGGATAGGTATTCGCAGGAGAATGCTTCTGTTATGGTGCAGAGTTACTGAGAAAATAAAGGGGCCAAGAGCACAAGTACCACTTACAAAAATATAAAGTGGGTCGTAGTCCAGAGAATTGGCTAAGGTCTCCGGCGGCTTCATATTTAGGATGGAAAGTCTGCTGGGGAGCTGGGGGGTGCTGTCCTGCTTTGGCAGAGTAATGACAGTGGCGGCTTCATCCTGGAGCATGACCGGGAGCAGATATGTTGAGGGACATCAGGACAAAAGGGGACGGGACAGGGAGGGGTTTCTGGCAGACACGCTTTGTTACCTCAGCTCCCTGCTTCAGGGCTCGAGCAAGCTTCTGAGGTGTGTAACTGATGGAAGACCCTTCTATGTAGAATGGCTGGTAGCCCTTGAGTTTGTACAGTTGAGGAACCTGAGGTGAAAAGAAACCAACGGTAAATGTCCTTCAAAGCCCGATGTGGTGGGCAGAGATGGACTTCGCAAGCACAGCACAGGGCTGCCTGATGGAACAAGGAGAAAAAAGAGCCATGTTCTGAGCATCAAGTGTAACACCCCTCAGTGGTGGGGGGGACATCACCTGCCAGGATCCAGCTCTATCCTGGGTACCAACACAATATGAACATTCACAGACCAAGGGTCTTCACTGGACAAAAACACCAAACACTGGTTTGTCAATTTCAGATGTTTATCCTTTTAAAAAACAGAAGGGTCACAGACCTTAAAAGAAACAAGTCTAGCTAACTTTTATTCATGTTAACTTGTATTTCCCCCCTCCCTTTAGTTTCTAAAAGCTGTCAAATAAGATAGCTTCATAAATACAAAATATATGCATATCCAGAGTAAAGATGAAAGTTCCCATAAGCTACCTCGGGAAGGAATCTGTTATACACCCCACAAACCACAAAAGCAGAACAATAACCTTCAATGTTATTGGGAAGAAATCCAGTGAACTTATATATGGCAGATCTGACCTGAAGCTTGAAGAAGGAATAATTTTGCTTGATTTGAACTTCTGAAGCTTTAATCGGGACTGGTCCAAGGCCATCAGGAGCCTAAAATGCGAACATTCAAATTATGGACATATAATCAGCACTGAGCCACAGTGATGATGCATTTTTCTCTCAAAATTGCAAGCATAAACAAAAAGTTCTATTCTCAATATAACTGTGACCACAGTTGCTACTTGATGTGTGGGGAAAAGAAAAAATGGTGGCTATTGCCCTTGTTCCTTATCTCTTAGTGTTAAGAATCTTCATCTCTTTTATGCATTTGTGGAAACCGTGGTGCCACTCAGTACCCACTTGAGGAGAGAAGGATTTTATTTCTAGCTGCTAGGAAGTCGGCAGATAAAAACAGCCCTCAGGGCTCAGCTCCTTACAGGAGCTGCTGCCTCTAAAGGGAGCCTGTTTCAGTGTAGGTTACATGCTCTTCAAGGCAGCCCACTCCCAAGGACAGGCTGGACAGAGGTGTGTGAGCTGAGGCCTGTCTCTCTGCTGCAATTCCAGAGCTGTCATGAGTTCAGCTGAGGCCTTTGCCCTGAAGGGTTCTAGTCCTACAACTCTGTGTCCATTTCTGGCCTCCTTCCTGCAGGTCCCAATGTCAACAGCACTCCCTGATAAATTCTTTGTTGTCAACATGGTGCAGACACCCAGAATACCTACAGCAGTCCCTGCTATATTATTGCTCAATAGACACTGTATTTCATCTGAGATATCATCATGAAACAAATATGAAGCAACCATAATATGTCATCTGTTCCCAAACATTTTCCAATGTCATAGATGCTAAATAAAAATGTGATTTTAGGGTTGACTGGATACAATACCTATGATATGAACTTAAAATTTCTTTATAACTAGGAATGCTGAACGTTTTGTTTTTCATTAATCCTGAGCAGCAGAGAAATGAATGAAATAAACAAGCTTTGAGTAATTCAGAAATTATTAGTTAGAGTCTACCCTATCATCCTTTCCACCTGTCAATTATTGAGTGCCATATCCCTGAAATTTACAGAGGTCCAGAGGCTAGTTTTGAAAATATTTTTCAGACTGAGCTGGAAAATTCAATGCTGAGGCCCGATGACGCACTGTTACTTGGGCCCAGAAGTGTTTGGGGTCCTCCAGGGCCACACCCCATAGTGTAGGGTGTGTGTGGGCGGGGTCATGTAGTGCCAGGGATTGAACTTGGGTTACCTTCCCAGTCTAACATGTGAGATGCTGAAAGTCAGCTCAGCAATTCTTGAGTAGATTGACCTGAAATGCTTAAATGTTATAAGATATGAACAGCAAGTTTATTTTTTGGAACTAAAATATTGCTTTGGATATAGATTCCCAATATCAACAAACCATGTGAGCTTGGGCAGTATTCTATTACTATGAATTTTGTGTCTCAGTTTCTTCCTCATCTCTAAGATGATAAACATTTCATACATATTTGTTGGTGAGAAAGCAAAAGTCATTCAACTGAAGTGTTTGGCACAACTTCATTCATGGTAAATACAAAATAATAGCCATTATTTTTACTATAATGCATGATATGTCTTACAAGGCAAGAGGAAAAGTTATACAGTAAAGAGATAGAGGAAGATGAAGAGGAGAGGTGGAGAGGTGGAAGAAAAGTTGGAGGAGAAGGAAAGAGGGACAGGAGGAGGTGATAAAGTAGGAGAAGCATAGAAGAAAAGGAAGGAGAGATGGAAGAGGAGAAGAGGAAACGAGAAGTAGAAGAAAGGGAAAGGGGGAAGAGAAAGAGGTGAAGAAAGAGTTGGAGAAGGAAAGGAGGAAGGGGGGAAGTTCCAAGTTTGGTGGGATTAGAGACTAGATTTAGGGGCCACATGCCCTCATTACCAGGTCAGCTTGTAGGAACCTCATCTGGCCTCTCCATTTGCTCACATAGCAAGAGGGCTCACTTGAGAAAGATCCACTTCTGTGTTTTTTCATCTAACTTTCTGCTCTTAGCCCCAGTTTCTGGGAGTTTCAGGGTTTCTACTGGGTTCCAGGTGCTTGCATCGGATGCCAGGGACATGGCTTTAGATGATGCCTGCTTTACCACTGGGCACGAGTTCCTGGGCATGGAGCTCCCTTAAGAGCTTCTTGGGAAGAGAAAAGGGGATGAAACCCTGGGCTGGTCTTAGTGTCTTCCTAACAACCATCTGATTGTGCCTAGCCCCGAGCTCCCAACCTGTTGATACTCACCAATTCTTTGGAGTCCTGAGGAGGACTATAAGTTGGGAAGGAGAAAGGTAGGATGTTGTTGGAAGAAAGAGAAGAACGACGAGGATGATCATCATTACTCATCCACATATGAAGAATTTTGGACAAATCCATCTCTGTGGGGGAAAAACAAAGCACCATGTGAACACAGTTAAAAAAAAAGTTTAGCCATTTTTACTGAAGTACCAGGGTTTACAATACTATAAATTTTACTTCTCATTCATGCCACATCCCAACAGCACATTTATCACAGTGTGCCCACTTCCCTCCACCAGTGTCCAAAGCCCCACCCCCCCCCACCCTAACCACCCTTTCTCCCATGTGAGTCAAATCTATAGACAAAATCTCCAGTTCCAAGAGGGATCCTCATTCACTGATGGTGGGGTTTGTCGACTGGTCCAGACTTTTTGTAAGACAATATAGGCTTTCCTCAAAAAATAACATAGAGATTGAGTTTCCATATGACCCAGCAATTCCACTCCTTCGAATATACCCCAAGGGTCCAAGCACAATGCAGAAAAGATGTCTGCACTCCTATGTTCATTGTAACACTATTCACAGTAGCCAAAATCTGCACAACCCAAGTGCCCAAGAACAGATGACTGCATGACGTTGCCTTGATAGATCTACAGAGTGGAGTACTATGCAGCCTTTAGCAAAGATGAAGTCATGAAATTTGCTGTTACACGGATGGATCTGGAGAGTATCATACTTGATGCGATAAATCAAAGTGAGAGGGAGAGAAACAGAATGATCTTGCTCCTTTGGGGCATATAATAAAACATAATAGGGGCATAATTGAAGCCCAGACATAAAAGAAGCAAAGGGTAGGAGGATGGTTCCTTAGTAGGAAGTTTGCTACTGTTGTGGGAGGGAAGGTAGATCAGGGAAGGGACCACTAAGACAGTGGCAGAGGAACGTGGTCACTCTGAATGAAGACCGGTGCTAAAAGTAGGTAAAGTGACATGAATACACCCTATCAATAATGGTACTGTAAACCAGTGTCTAAAGGAGTGAGTAAGTAAGTAAAGGCCCTCCCGTTGATCATCGATTTGCTCGGGCGGGCCCAGTAACGTCTCCATTGGAGACTTTGTTGCTACTGTGTCTGGCATATCGAATACTCGGTCTAAAGGAAAGAAAGGAAAAAGTGCCTCCACCAGCCTCACACGGTAGGGGGAAAGGCAGCTCAGATAGAGAAGGGAAGACCAAATAAAGGATGTTGGGAGGATCCTCCAGGATGGGAGAGTAGACTCTAGACTGAACATGATGGCCACTCAATGCTTCTTTTGCAAACCACAACACCCAAAAGGACAGAGAGAACAAAGGGGAATGCCCTGCCACAGAGGCAGGGTGGGATGGGGGGGATGGGGGGTGTGAGGGATACTGGGATCAGTGGTACTGGAGAATGGGGACTGGTGGAGGGATGGGTACTTGATCATTGTATAACTGAAACCCAAGCACACAAATTTGTAAGTCTACAACTGTACCTCATGGTGCTTCACTAATAAAAATTAAAAAAAAAAGTGCATCCAATGAGATAGGCTGGGGGCAGAAGAGAAATTGGGGACATTGGTGGAGGGAAGGTAACACTGGTGAATGGATTGGTGCTCAAACATTGAATCCCTGGAACTCAATCATGAATAATTTTGAATCTTTGTAATTCATGTAACCATGTAAGTCAATAAATTATAATTTTTTAAAAAAAATCTCCAGTTTCAATTATTCTAGCTAATTGTTGTTTCCTTACTAAATCTCTTTATAACCTACACATGAGAAAGATCTTTTTTTTAAAAATGTAGGAGTACTGCTATTTATTCAGCCACTGATTGGCTGATAGAATTGGGCATGAACTCCACCTTACTTTTTTCCATAGTTTTATTTATTTATTTTTCTTCTTATATTTATTTATTGAATCACTGTGGGACAAGTTACTAAGCTTTCAGATTTAAGTCTCGGTCATACAATGATCAAACACTTCTCCCTTCACCAGTACTCATTTTTCACCACCAAGAACCCCAATATACCCCCCTACCACCCCTCCCAATGACTGTGAGGCAGATGATTTCCACTTAACTCTTCTCTACATTGATTACATTCATTATTTCGACAAAAGATACACCATTATTGTTTAGAATTTCCCCCCAACAATCAGAATTGCTGAAAAGGCGTTGTGAAATACTTTGTTTTCTATAGCTAGTTATGAGAATCATATAAAGTCACTCGGCCATGACAGCGGCCGCACAATTTTGGATTTCTGCGAAGAGCCATATAATTACGAGATTGGTTTCTGTGCATCTGGTGTTATGGCTGTGCCAGAGAGCCGCTTGTGACCTCGTGGAGAGCAACTCATGACCTCGGTAGAGAGCGAAGGACTAGCGGGTACTGCTCCCCTTCCCATGAGACTGCAGTTGCCCCGTCACTGCCGGCTCATACCTGGCTTTCCAATAAGCTCTGAGGCGGCAGCCACCTTGCTGTCGGGGGAGGGGGGGGAGGTGGAAGGGAGCAACACCCTTTCCCTCTGGGGGAGGCATAGTGCCATAGTTTAATGCATGGTCCATTCACTTTTCTGCTGCAAGCTGCCGGGCTCTGGATTAAGTCCTTTTGCCTCTGGAACCATGGTCCAGATGCATTTCTGCCAAAAGCTGCTAGGTTTCGAGATTTGTTTCTGAGTCTCTGGGATCATGGCCATTAATCAGCTTGATCAGGAGCCAGAGAGGCCATTTGTAGGTGGCGATTTGGGGTCTCTCTGGGATGGGGAGGAAAGGGCCTGTTCCACCCCCATCTGGTGAGGCCCGCGTGTCTCGTCACTGCAGGCCCAAACCTGTCTGTCCAGTGGCCTCTGGAGGATGACGGTCACTGGGCCACCAAGGGGAACAGGCCAAGGCACGGAACCTATTCCCACCTGGAGTGACCCAGCCCCAGTAACCTACTGCAGGAACAGGATGCATTTCTTTTTTTTTTTTCCACTTGACAAATATATCATTTTATTTAGCTTCTAATAAAATATTTTCATGGATATATAGCACAACTGAAAACATTACTTTATTACTTTAAAATATGTTTAAAATTCTGTTACATGTATTTCTATGACAATTTTAAGTGACCTTTAAAAGTTATGAAATTTTGTTTTTTTTATTTTTTAATTTTTATTAGTGAAACACCATGAGATACAGTTGTAGACTTACAAATTTTTGTGCTTGGGTTTCAGTTATACAATGATCAAGTACCCATCCCTCCACCAGTGCTCATTTTCCACCACCACGGGTCCCAGTATTCCTCCCACCCCCTATTCCCCCATCCCATCCTGCCTCTGTGGCAGGGCATTCCCTTTTGTTCTCTCTCTCCTTTGGGTGTTGTGGTTTGCAAAAGAGGCATTGAGTGGCTATAGTCTACTTTCAGCATGCTTCTCCCATCCTGGGAGGATCCTCCCAACACCCCAGGATGCATTTCTGCCAAAAGTCTTTTTTTTTTTTTTAAATTTTTTTTTATCATTTTTTTTTATTAGTGAAACACCATGAAGTACACTTATAGACTTATAAATTTTTGTGCTTGGGTTTCAGTTATACAATGATCAAGTACCCATCCCTCCACCAGTGCCCATCCTCCCCCGCCACGGGTCCTAGCATCCCTCCCACCCCCCATCCCTCCCCCCCCGTCCCACCCTGCCGCTGTGGCAGGGCATTCCCCCTTGTTCTCTCTCTCTTCTTTTGGGTACTGTGTTTTGCCAGAGAGGCATTGAGTGGCAATCATGTTTGGTCTATAGACTACTTTTAGCATGTCTCTCCCACCCTGGGAGGGTCTTCACAACACCCTTTATTTGGTGCTCTCTTCTCTATCTGAGCTTCCTTCCACCTAGAATGTGTGGCTGGTCTTCAAGTCATGGAGCAAAATTCCTGGTACTAATCTGAGCCATTCCTGGGTGTTAGTCTCCCGTTTTGTTGCTTTATGTTCCCCAGATGAATGCAATCTTTCTGTGTCTATCCCGCTCTTTCTGACTCATTTCGCTTAACATGATACTTTCCATGTAGTACCACTTGTATGTAAATTTCATAACTTCATCTTTTCTAACAGCTACATAGTACTCCATTGTGTAAATGTACCAAAGTTTCTTTAACCAGTCATCTGTTCTCGGGCACTCAGGTTTTTTCCAGATTCTGGCTATTGTAAAGAGTGCTGCAATGAACAAACAATTGCAGATGTCACTTCGACTATACATTTTTGCCTCTCTGGGATATATTCCCAGGAGTGCTATAGCTGGGTCAAATGGGAGATTAAATTCTAATTTTTTGAGAATCGTCCATACTGTTTTCCAAAAGGGTTGGACCAGCCTGCATTCCCACCAGCAGTGAAGGAGGGTCCCTTTCTCGCCACATCCGCGCCAGCACCTGTTGCTTTTGTTCTTGTGGATGTGGGCCAGTCTCTGTGGTGTGAAATGATATCTCATTGTTGTTTTGATCTGCATCTCTCTGATGATTAGTGATGTAGAGCATTTTCTCATGTGCCTTTTTGCCATTCGGATTTCTTCTTTGTGAAAGTTTCTGTTCATTTCCTCACCCCATTTTTTGATGGGGTTGGGTGATTTCTTCTTGTGTAGTTTAACCAGTACCTTGTATATCCTTGATATCAACCCCTTGTCAGATGTGTATTTGGTGAATATTCTTTCCCATTCTGTAGGCTGTCTTTGTATTTTGGTCACTGTTTCTTTTGAGGTGCAGAAGCTTCTTAGTTTAAGATAGTACCATTTGTCTATCTCTGTTTTCACTTGCTCGGCCAGTGGCGTGACATCTTTGAAGATACCACTAACTTCAATATCGTGGAGAGTTTTGCCAACTTTGTCTTCAATAAACATTATGGATTCCGGTCTGATGTTGAGGTCATAAATCCATTTCGATCTTACTTTTGTGCATGGCATTAGGCAGAGATCTGAGCCCACTTTTTTGCATGTAGCCGTCCAGTTTTGCCAGCACAATTTATTAAAGAGGCTTTCCCTGCTCCATTTCACTTTTCTTGCCCCCTTATCGAAGATTAGATGATTATATGTTTGGGAGGAGATGTCAGTATATTCAACTCTGTTCCATTGGTCTGCAACTCTGCCTTTGTTCCAGTACCATGCTGTTTTGATTATTACTGCTTTGTAGTAGAGCTTGAAATTAGGTAGGTTGATTCCTCCCATTTTCTTTTTCCCAAGAATTGCTTTAGCTATTCGTGGGGGGTTCTCTGAGGTTTGTTTCTGAGTCTCTGGGATCATGGCCATTAAGCAGTTTGATCAGGAACCAGAGAGACTATGCCTCCAATTATATAGCTGAGCCGGAGGTGGTTTGTGGATGTGTCTCCCACATACCTAACTTTTGGCCGTTTACTTTCTTGGTAAACTTTGACCCAAGTTTTTGGGGTCTGGCCAAAGGCACAGCAGCAATTTTGGGGTATTTGAAAGTCTGACGGTGCCATCAGGCTGCACTCACCTCACAGGTACAGATTGACCTGCTGGCGGCACCATACCCCCACACATGAGAAAGATCTTTTTAAAGACTTATTGTGAAGGTGGTGACACCTACCCATACATAGATAATTAAAGAAAGATTTCTGAAATTCCACAAATTGTACATCAATGATGAGCTGAAAATTTTTTTTCCAAAAACTTTATAGAGTGAACAATTTTATGGTAAAACATTTAAAAATTAATGTAATATTTGTAACTCCTACAAATACATACTTTAGTGAGAACGGGGATAGGAGAATTAAGAAAATTTTAAGGGAAAATCTGAATAGACTAATAAAAATGTTTTTTCCTAAAAAGGGAGTATAGGCTTTATAATAGAAAGAACTATAGATAATGCTTGAGGAAAGAAGTAAAGATTACTTAAGTAAGAAGTAAAAGATTACTCGCGGATACCGCTGCCGCAAGCATGGTGAACGTACCAAAAACCTACCAGACTTTTTGTAAGAAATGTGGCAAACATAAGCCCCACAAAGTCACACAGTACAAGAAGGGTAAAGATTCTCTGTATGCCCAAGGAAAGCATTGTTATGACAGGAAGCAGAGTGGTGACGGAGGTCGGACTAAGCCTACTTTCCGAAAAAGACCAAAACTACAAAGAAGATTGTGTTGAGACTTGAATGTGTCGAGCTCAACTGCAGATTAAGAGAATGCTGGTCATTAAGAGATGCAAGGATTTTGAACTGGGAGGCGATAAAAAAGAGAAAGGGACAAGTGAGTGATCCAGTTCTAAGCTTCATCTTTCATTATGAAGACAGAAATCTTGGGCTGTGTTAGACTGATGAAACAATCCGTGTTTTAGGAGGGAAATTAAGTAGTGTCATGAATGAACTTTCCGAGAGGAAATTTGCTTGATAAAAAAAAGAAGTAAGGGGCTGGAGAGATAGCACAGTGGGTAGGATGTTTGCCTTGCACGCGGCCGACCTGAGTTCGATTCCCAGCATCCCATATGGCCCCCTGAACACTGCCAGGAGTAACTCCTGAGTGCAGAGCCAGGAGTAACCCCTGAGCATCGCCGGGTGTGACCCAAAAAAAGCAAAAAAAAAAAAAAAAGTAAAAGATTATAATAAAAATATCCATAGATGCACACAAATAATCTGAATAGACAGAGAACATTCAAAGTAATTGAAACATAATTTAGTATTGAAAAAATTTAAAATCCCTTAGCAACTTGGGCAATAAGCAGACCTTTCTTAATCTTCTAGAGAGCAACCATAGGCTCCACAATTGAATGGCATTCTCAATGGCAAAATACTAAGAAGTTTCTCTTGTTTATTTATTTATGTATTCATTTATTTATTGAATCACCATGAGCTACAGTTACAAAACTTTCATGTTTGAGTGTCAGCCATACAATGATGGAATACCCATCTCTCCACAAGTGTCAATGATGGTTGGGGGGATCTCTTGTTTTTTAAAGAAGCTCCTTTAGTGCTTCTTGCAGAATTGGTTTCATGGCTGTAAATGCTCTAACCCTGTCTATGGAGCTCTGTATTATTCCTTGAAATCAGAATGATAATCTAGCTGGATAGAGTATTCTTGGTCATGTGTTCATTTCATTCAGTTTTTTTTCCTTTTTTTTTTTTTACTATATCCCACCACTCTTCTGGCTCATAGAGTCTCATTTGATAGATCTGCTGTGAATGTATGAACTTTCCTTTGTAAGTTCCTTTTTTGATCTTGCTGCTTTTAATATTCTGCATCTATAGATGATTTTCGTCGTTATGATTATAATGAGTCTCAGAGATTTTCTGCCTGGGTCTATTTGTGCTGAGACTCTCTCCTAGTGGAGATTAGCTGACTGCCTCAAGATCTAAATGCTGTGAGGACGGGACCACCTGCCAAGGAATGCAGCAGATCTCCAAAAGTGGGAAAGGCCAGAACATCTTCTTTCTTAGAACCTGCCTGAAGAGTCAGCCTTGATTATAGACTTCTGACCTCCAGAAGAACAATGAGATGAGATTTATTTTTGAGGGGAGGAGGGGTCACATTCGGCAGTGCTCAGGTGTGTAGCTCTGTTCTCTGCATTCAGGGACCACTTCTGAGCAAACTTGGGTAACCGCATGAGGTTCCAGGTGTCCAACCAAGGTTAGCCGTGAACAGTGCAAATACCTTTCTTGTGCTATCTTTCTGGCCAAGATGGTAAGTTTGCTTTTCTGGCTACATGTAAGTTTACAGTGGTTTGTTACGGTAGCCACAGAAACAAATAAATGTGATTTGTGAGGAATGTTTGTGTCTGCATAGTTGAGTTCAATGTATAAAAACGTTAGAGGGTTCGATAACGGAGGAGACCCCCAACCCTCATAGAGGCCCTTTACCTTGCTCCATCGATCTTTTTCCATGGCTCAACTTTCTCTTCACTTCCTCCCTATCTATCTCGCGCACAGCTTTCAGTGTTTTGAGTAACCGTCGATGAACCATGACCTGGAATTCAAAAGAACGACAGCTTCGAGTTATGATTGTGCACAGGTTCATTTGGGGATTCAATTTAATTCTTTTTATTCAACCACAATGAAGGGCGGAGGCCCTCACACTCAGTCAGAATTCACAGGGTAAGTGCTCACTGCTACTGACAAGGACATGAAAACTTCAAGGACTGAACAATGTTAACACGAGAATGCAAAAGCAAGCATAGAGAAACAACCAGCTTGTCACCCGACCTTGTCATACTGAATTTATGTGCCCCCATTTTCTTGTATTCCTAGAGTGCAAAACTTGGACAGCTAGTTCTACCTTTTCCTCTGCTTTTCACCGTATCTGAAAAGTGATCTTCTTGCTGAGATATTTTCAGAGTGAGTTAGTGTAATTTCAACTAAGGGTTCCATAGATGCAGGACTATAATGGGCTAACCACACACTCCGGGTGCTCCTGAGGGGAGTGTTACCTGTGCATAGAATGACTTCTAGAGCTGTCACTGGTTCCCTGTACAGTGGGCCTTCCCACCAGCAGAGGACTCTGACTGAACAGATAGTAGCAAGTGCCTGTTCTGTGGCCAGGTACAGGAAATATAGATGGTAACAAACAGATGTCCTGCATGCATAGGGCTGACACTATATATATATCACTGCCACTGTCACTGTCCTCCCTTTGTTCATCGATTTTCTCGAGCGGGCCCAGTAACGTCTCCGTTGTGAGACTTTGTTGTTACTGTGTCTGGCATATCGAATACGCCATGGGGAGCTTGCCAAGCTTTGCCATGCGGGCGAGATACTCTCGGAAGCTTGCCAGGCTCTCCGAGAGGGGTGGAGGAAGCGAACTCGGGTTGGCGATGTTGGCTGTGTGCAAGGCAAAATATATATATTTTATTTTCAAAAAGTTGCTCAGAATCACGGATTACATTCAATATTTCGACACAAGACCTGCCACCATCACATCTTCCCACCACCGTTATTTTGAATTTCCCGCCACCACCAAACCTGAACAGGCAGATGCTAGATAATTTATTTGTATTGTCCACTATGAATAATGTAGGATGTCACGCAGCCGTGCTCCTAGAAATCTGAAATTTTAGATAATTAGAGTCTGGAGAAATCTTTGCAGCAAGCATCTCAGTTCTGAGATTCTTTTGTGTGTCTCTGGATCATGGCCAGTAGTCGCCAAAGGCAGCTTGTGGGCATGATATCCAGGGTCCTATGGGGGCAGGGAGATGGGAAGGGCCATTCGTCCCTTATCTTATGAGGCCTGGAGTTTGCCATCACTAATCCTGAGTACCTGGCTTTTCACTGGGTTCTGGAAGATGGCAGTCACCGGGATTCCTAGGAGGTAGGTGGAGAGTCAACTCCTGCTCCCGTTTGAGGCATCCAGGTGAAATCGACCTGGTGCAAATTCCGGAAGTATCTTTGCAGCGAGCTGCTCGGTTCCGAGATTCTTTTGTGTATCCGGGATGATACTTTCTGTGTGTGTGTGTGTGTGTGTGTGTGTGTGTGTGTGTGTGCATGTGGGGTGGTATAATAATGAACATGCAAACATAGGCTAAATGCCATTGGGTAGATGGGAACTTAGACATGCACAAGAGTGTGGCTGAAGGGTCTGGGACGGGAAATATTCTGGCCACATAAGCAAGGATCATGGAAGGAACAGAGGTTTCATTCTGACACTCGGATGATGTAGAGACCCAACAAATGGAGAGCAGAAAACACATAACTCCAATTCAGAACAAAGGAGATGTGTTTAAGGATCATGGAGAATTCTGATCTGACCTTGGAGCCTGATAAAACTTGCGCTGCTAATTCTTGTCCTCATGGGAAGTCTTTGGAATGTTACCAGGGAGAGGTATTATTAACTTAAAGCTTTACTGGGTGGGGAAAGAGGGGAGTTGGGCTACACCCAGTGGTGCTCAGAGACAACTCTGAGCTCAGGGATCACTCTTGGTGGTGCTCAGTATGCTACATGGTGCGGAGGATTTGAACCAGAGTTGGCCAATACAAGGCAAGTGCCTTTACCTCTACTATCTCTCTGGTCCTAATTTAAAGCTTTGGAGACAGCACTTTAGCCAGAACTGGGGGACCAGAAGCAGTGGGAGCAGAGAGCCCACAAGAGATGAGGAACAGAAAGTGATCTGGGGATACTGCAGGCGTCAGGCTGGGGAAACAGTCACACAGGAGGGTGCAAGGTAGGGAATCCAGAGCCTTCACTCAGAGAAGGCACATGCTACTCCCTCTCCACCCTAGAGGGTGCACTGCAGAAGGGCCTCAGTGGTCCCAGTTGTGCCAGGCCTATCCGCCCAGATCTCTGATGTTGTATCTCCTCATGGTCAGCATCTGTGCTCCCTCCCCACTCTGCAGCATATCTGGCCCTGACTCTTTCAACCACCCAGTTCCCGCTGAGAGCCCCCCTCAGATCTGCACTATACAGAGCATGCCCAGACACAGGCACACCAATGACAGCAGCTTTGTCTGGCCTTGGAGGTGGGCGAGAAGGCACTTGAATTGCTGCGGTGTGCTTGGTCTCTCTAGCAAAGTGTCACCAGCCCAGGAACCCACTGCTTGGGTGCGATAACTAGTGGGAACCTCTGATTCCTATTCCTTCATCTATTTTCTCAACCACCTCATTGGCAGCCTCAGTTTCCTGTGTGGAAATGATGGCACAGAAATTGCAGAACTTATCTGAGACCAGAAAGCACCCAGGAAATAACACCGAGACATGAATGCAGGCAAGCTGGCTCCAGCATCTGAGGCTTGGCCACTGCTCTCCCCAACCTCAGGGCTCTGCCCTGGGGACAGTCATGCCCTGGTGGCAGAGTCAAGAGTTTCAAGGACAGCCAAAGAACCACAGAGATTGCCAAGTCTTTAAGCTTCAAGGGACAGTTCCTTGAAGGGATGCAGAGCCGAACTGGCCCAAGGGACAGGGGTGGACAGAAGGAGCGAAGATGGAATGGTATCTCGGTTGGAGTGTGGACATTTATAGCTACAACGGGAAAGGAGCATGTGTGTATGGGAGAAGGGACTGGATAACACAGAGGGGAGGAAGCAGCTGCAGAGTTCTCACCAGGGGCTCCCTGACACGCTACATCGGCATGAGGCTCTAAGAAGTCTTCATTTAAGCAGCTGGAATAGAGAAGGGACCACCATGAGAGAGATAGTTGGGAATCGTCACTCTGGCTAAGAACTGTGTGTTGAAACAGGTAAAGGAACAAACAGGATAATCTCTCAGTACCTGAGAGAGAGAGAGAGAGAGAGAGAGAGAGAGAGAGAGAGAGAGAGAGAGAGAGAGAGAGAGAGAGAGAGAAGGAAAATGCCTGCCATAAAGATAGGCTGGCGGGAGGGGAAACTGGGAACATTGGTGGTGGGAAATGTACCCTGGTGGAGGGATGGGTGTGGGATCACTGTGTGACTGAAACCCGATCATGATCAGCTTTGTAATTCTGTATCTCACAACGACTAAAAATTTTTTTTAATTAAAAAAAAAAGAAGTCTTCATTTGATGCATTCACAGCAGGCCTTTGCAGGATACAAATGTGCTGGGTGGGAGGCTGGGGGAATATGAAGAGGCTCTGATGGGGAGAAGACGCCACTTGAAGGGGAAGATGCAAGCCTGGTTGACAAGAGACAAGATCCCTGGGAAATTCTCAGGCGCTCGCCCTCACACAGATTCGCTCTAGGACCCAGCAGTTCGAATCCTGAGGACAGATGCCCGAGAATGGAAAGCATGTCCATGGACTTGTACAGAAGGTTCCTTGAGCCAACTAAGCCCCAGAAGGGCAAGACACACGTTTCAGCTGATGAAGAGATGCATATGTTGTCTTGTCCGTGCAAGAGAGCTGTGCTTATCCATAAGAAGGAATGAAGTTCTGACTTGTACAACCATAGGACATCCCACGAAAGATGTCAGTGACACCAGGGAGGTGTCTGGGTCTGATCCCATTGCTAGGAAATGTAAATTTCCAGAAGGGGCAAATCCACAGAGACAGAAAGCAGCTGAGTGGCCATGGAGAAGGACTGCTAATGGAAAGGGCTTCATTTTGTGGTGATAAAAATGTTCTAAAATTAGGCTGCGGTGATGGCTGTATTATAGCAAACGTGACTGAAAAACGAGCAGTGCACTTTACAAGGGTGAGTTTTATGGGATGTGAAAGTACATCTCAATAAATGGTTGTAAAAAAAAAAAGGAGGGACCAAAAAACCCTTCTTGTTCGATTCCCTTGTGCTATGATGAAGCAAATTCCAATTTTGCCCTGGTATGGGGAGACTTACCTTGCGTGCTGCTTGTTGAAAACGTCTTTGTGCCCTGAATCGGGTGACCCAAGTATTATTAAGGAGAGGATCAAAACTGGGATGAAATTCTTGCGTTTTCTGTGAACATAAAAGCACAGACACGTCTTCGATGATGCTAAGTTTCACTCTGGGCATAAGCACAAAATGAAACTTTTTTAGATTTGGTCTTAAATGACTCATTCGATCATTAAGGAGTATGAATTAGTATACAGAGGGAGATAAGGATTACTTCTTGGACTGGGGTGGAACGAGGAAAAAGATAAGATCTGGGTTTTAAGGCATTTGTTGTCTGATAAGAGAAACCCACCGTGTGTGTGTTGTGTTGTGTTGTGTGTGTGTATGTGTGTGTGTTTGGGGGTGCCTCTGAAGTGGAGGGGAGCTGCTGTGACTCACAGCAGAGGGAGACTGCTTTGTTCCACCAGCCCCTGCACCATCACTGGGCCTGCTTGGGGTGGGCACGGGTGCACACCACAGATCTCTAAAGGAAGAGGCAGCTAGAAACCCGTGCTCGGAGCTTCTTGGGACAGGGAAGCAATACAGAGGACGTGACCGATGTCAGAAGGGAACTGGATCAAATTACCTCCTGCTGGAGGTGGGAGGCAGGGGGAGGACAGGAAGAGGTAGGGTTATGGGAGGGGGTCGGCAGGCATCTGCAGAGAGGAAGGAGGGTCTGATCTATGAGTCAGTTTATTAGCGGATCCATTGAGGGCAGACGTGAAGGGTTGGATTCCTGTGTTCACGGTGGAAGGAGAGCTCGGGGCAAGGCTGGGCACCCAGACTAAATGGGGCGGGGGGGGGGGGGGGAGAAAAGCATAAATAGCTGAGAAGCAGCAAGCCTGGAAAAGCAGGGCAGTGACAAAGGTGGGGAAACTGGGAGAAATTTTTTCATTTCAAAAACTGTCCTTTCTCCGCCACCCACCTGCTTGCCATGTGACTCAGAGGTCTGCAGTCTAACTAACATCACCTCATATGACCCAGTAGTCCCCAAAACCACAAGGGTGGAACACCCTCTCACCTCCACCCCCACCAGGCTCCAGCACAGCAGTGATGACAGCAACGAAAGGAAAGGAAGGGAGATATGAAAAATCGGGGCCCTCCCTTCCTGAAATGATCCCAGGACAGAGGAAATGGGGGGAGAGGAGCTATACCAAGGAGCCAAGGCAGAGAGGGCATCTCCCCAAGCCCAGGTCCCTGCAGAGCCACCAAATGCCACCCTGGTTTTGCCTTCTTCCCACGGAGGGGAGGGAGCTGGCAGCAGGGTCCCTGAGAGCAGAGCCCCTGCAGAAAGGTCCTGGGAGAGCAGAGGGAAGCCAAAAAGAAGACCAAGGCAAGGAGAGAAGAAACCCAGGCCGGGCAGCACTTCATGACATGGAAACATCAGCTATAAGACTTAATGTTTTTTTTTTACTTGAGGAAGATGTGGTTAAAAACACTGGAGGGGCTGGAGCAATTGCACAGCAGGATTCAATTGCCAGCATCCCATATGGTCCCCTGAGCACTGCCAGGAGTAATTCCTGAGTGAAGAGCCAGGAATAACCCCTGTGCATCGCCGGGTGTGACCCAAAAAGCAATAAATAAATAAATAAATGTGAAAACACTGGAAATGCTAGGCAGATAGAACATTTCGCAGTGAAAGGGTTTCTATAAAGTGGCTTGACCATTCAAAATAGAAAGACCCAGGTCCCAGCTCTGCCCACTCCAGATGAAACATCAATGACCACGAGCTTCCAGAAGCAAAACCCAGGGACATGGGCACATGGGTTCAAGAACAAAGAAACTAAGAGTCCAGGTCACATGGCGGCAGCAGAGATGGGCTGGCCCTTCCTGTCTCCCTGCCCTGGCTTGGGGTCTTGGCTGTCATGTCCACAATCTGCCTCCGGGCACCATCTAAGTGCATCAACGGCCTTGATCCAGAGACTCCCGAATGAATCTCAAAATGGATAAGCTCCCTACAGAGATGTCTGTGGACCCTAACCATTTACAATTTTAGAATTCCAGAAGTGTGTGACTGCAAAAGCGGCCGCGGGACCTCTCATGATATTCATAATAAGCAACAGAAAATAAATTATCCCGACTGGATTCCACGGGATGTCAAAAGACCGCGTGGCCGCCCACCTACCAGATGGTCAGACTTCTTCGTCAAGATCATGAACGATCGGTTTGAGGCCCTTCATATTCCCGGAGCGAACAGATGCCATTGGGCTACACTAGCACGTGACAGGGACAAATGGAGATGTTACTGGCGCCCGCTCGAGCAAATCGATGACTAACGGGAAGTTAAGTGATTAAGTGATTAAGCATCTGCCCCTGGCAGGCAGGTTTGAGTGGTGGTGGAAAAATTCAAAATAATCGCAGTGGGAAGGTGTAATGGTGGTGAAATCGGTGTTGAAATATTGAATGTCATCAATGAATGTGAACAACCTTATTAAAAACAAACAAACAAACAGAAAGACCCACAAAGAACTGCCAATGGTTAGATTCCAAATACTGGCAACTTACCCACCTGTCCGATATCATGAACCACCCGATGCTTGTTAATCTCTGTCTTGGTGCGCTGAAACTCCTCCTTCCAAACAGGATCTCCTCGATCCAGCTGGGGATTTCACACAACTCACAATGAAATGCAAACGCATGTGGCTTTACTTGTCTCTTAAAGTTCCCCTAAGCAATCGGTCAAACCCCTGCACAGAGCTGGCCCTGGGGCGAAGGCAACAGAGACAGCCTCAAGCACAGTCCCGGCAGCCACACGGCAAAGGGTGTGACCTCAGGAGCTCCAAGGATGAGTGTATAACCTCCAGTGGGCATGTTGTGAGCAGCCCCACAAAAGAGGGTGACCCCAGGGAACAACAAGGATGAGTGTGTGGGTACCATTCAACTCCTGAGCACTGCAGCAAACATGACAAAGGGAAAGGAAGGAGAACAATGAAACCAAATCTGACATAAAAGTTACCTTTTCTAAATGCTAATATTGGGCAATATGATGGCTTTACATTCTTTTGTTTGTCTCATTTAGAGAGAGAGGGACAGAGAGAGACAGAGATAGAGACAGAGACAGAGAGACAGAGAGAGACAGAAAGAGACAGAGAGACAGAGACAGAGACAGATAAGTTCATTCAATTACCTGATATAAACTTCAAAGTGAGGAAGAAAAATGTATTCCTGGGCCAGAGAGCTTGTACAGTGAGTAAGACACGTGGATGACCTGGGCTAGATCCCTAGTACTCCATGCGGTCCCCTGAGCCCACCAGGAGTGATCCCTGAGTGCAGAGCTAGGAATAAGTTCTGAGCACAGCCAGGTGTGGTGAAAGTAAAAACAATAATAAAAAGAAAAAAAATATTCCATATGAGAAGTCTATTCCTATCTGACACAATCTCTCTCCCCAACCCTGCCCTGACCCCTCCATTCCCTTCCAGAAGCTGTTGCCAGTAGCAACAAGTGTAGGAAACAGCTCACAGTCCAGGGTTGATTTTTGTTTTTTTCTCTTTTGGTGTTTGGACCATACAAACAACCAGGGTGCTCAGGTTACTCCTGGTTCTGTGTTAAGGGATCACTCCTGGCAGGTTTCAGGGAGCCAGAAGGGATCAAACAGGGTGAACCACATGCAAGGCAAGCACCTTAAATAGCCTCTGTACTATGCCTCTGGCTCATCTCACATCCCAAGTTGATTCTTTTTTTCTTGCTTGCTTGCTTGCTTTGTTTTGTTATTTTTTTTTCTGTCTGGGGGCCACACCCAGAGGTGCCCTGGGGCTGCTCCTGGCTTGTGCTGTAAAGGTCACTCCTAGTGGTGTTCAGGAGACCAGGTGGTGCCAGGATGGGACCCAGCCTCCTGCATACGAAGTCTGACCATAGTGATGCTCTCTCTCTCCAGGGTGACATAGTCCCAAGGCTGAAGCAATCCCTGTCCGAGCTGAGTCCCTCCAAACTTTATCCCCCGTGTCTCAGAAAGTGATTGCCACGGCCTCTAGAAAACAGGTCTCCTGTGGACGCCTGCTCCTCTGTGGTGATTGCTTTGACAACCCTAACAAACTGCTATGATAGTTCTGGAAACTCTGCTGCTGATGCCCAGTTCCCTCGGCACAGAGCCCCTGCCAGCATGTCACATGGTCTCTCGCACCACAGCAGAGCCTGGGGGGGGGGGGTGGTCTCTACAGTCTCACAGCCCCTAGTCTGACTCTCCCCTCCTAGAACCGAAGGTGCTGCAGGCAGAGACCTCCCTGTAGCCCCTCTGCCCCGCCACTCCCCACGTTCTGCACTGCTCGTGTGAGCCTCTGACATGGAGCTTTCATCCAGATCCATCTCTGGCGTGGCTCCTCGTTACTGTCTTAAATTTTGATTCCCCTCATGCTCTGCAGATCACGGGACCAGGACACCTTATGCCCAGAATTCCAGCCCCAATTTGAGTCATTCCTTCCTTCCCTTTGACCTCTTCGTTGCCAGGGTCTCTAACTTTCTCTCTGGCTTCTCAGTCCCCAGGACACCCAGTACGGGTCGCTTAGGACCAGCCAGACTTGACTTAGGGTCTTCAGCCTCTTGTCCTTCCAACATTTTACAAGTGTTCTCTCTTCTCCCAGAGCATCTTGCACATGACATGGATCTGAAAATATTCAGTGAAACAAATGATCTGAGATTAGGTAATTCTGACCTTGTATTTGTGGCTTGCTTTCTGCCATTCATCAGTAAGTTCCTTACGTGATTTCAGAGACATAAAGTCTCTACCAATGTGCACTTGCCTAAGAAGGAAAAAACAGAACACAAGGAAACAAAAAATACAACTTGTAGAATAGGAATATCATAGTAATTTTAAGATAGAATGTCTTCACAACTGAAAAATAAGACAACCTGCTATTGGAGAAGATGTGATAAGAGAGAGAATTTATAGAGAGTTGTGGATGATTAATGAGTTCTATAAGATACAGTACGTCTTTTAGTGATACATGTGAAAGCATTTGTGAGTTAAAAAATATATATTGGAGACAAAGAGAGCTCAGTGGACTGAGTATGTGCTCTGTACGTTGGAGGCCGAGGGCCACCCAAGCGTCATTGCATCAGGGAGTTGGTGTGTTGACGTGTGAGTGTATGTGTGTGTATGTGTGTATGTGTGTGTATGGATGTTTAACATTATTAGAGAAACTGGGTTCGACAGCATCATGTGATACCACTTCATATTACACCATGATGGTCATGATGAGGACAATGGCAACTACAACTACAGAGGAGAGGGACAGCTACTGTGATGGATTTGGTGAGACTGGGACACTCACACATTGTTGATGGGACCATGAAATGGTATAGCCATAATAAAAAACAGTTTGGTAGCTCTTCAAGCAGGTCAACAGAATGATCACAGAACCAACAAATTCCACTTTTATGTAGCACTGTAGCACTGTTCTCTCGTTGTTCATCGATTTGCTTGAGCAGGCCCAGTGAGACTTGTTGTTACTGTGTTTGGCATATCAAATACGTCAATGGGTAGCTTGCCAGGCTTTGCTGTATGGGTGAGATACTCTTAGTAGCTTGCCGGGCTCTCCAAGAGGGGCAGAGGAATCAAACCGGGTCGGCCGCATGCAAGGCAAATGCCCTACCCACTGTGCTATCACTCCAGCCCGAAAATGTAGAAAAATATACAAAATATTTACAAAAGATATAAAATTATATTACAAAAATATAATGTTCGCACAGAAAACATTCGTAGTAGCATTATTTACAATGTAAAAGTAGAAACTACCCAAAATGTCTACTAACTGATTCATGAATAAACAAAATAAAATATACAGTGGACTATTACTTGGCCCTAAAGAGGAGTGAAGGGAACCAAGAGAGATAGTGCACTAGGTAGAGCACTTGCCTTGCATACAGCCAACCCAGGTTTGATCGTCAGCACTCCTAAAAGGTCTCCTGAGACTGGCAGGAGTGATCCTTGAGCACCACTGGTTGTGGTCACCCCAAAACCAAACAAAAACAAAATGAAAAGGAGTGAGGGACTAAGTGATGCTAAAAAGTGAATTAAAAATGTAAAGCATATTAAATGAAAGCAGCTTCCAAAAGTCTTATAATGTATGCCTCTATTTATATTCAAGAGTATATAATATGCAACCCTGGAGTTACAAAGTACCTTGGCAGGCTGGAGGGAGGGAAAAGGAGACTGCATAGTGAACATGGGGATTCTTTGAATTTTCTTACTTTGGGCCACTCCTGGCGCTATGGTCAGGGGCCACAGCTGGTGATGCTTGGGTGTCACACCTGCAACTAGGGTCTCCTTTGCAGGGCCAGGATCCCTGCATGTGAGAGACCATACTCAGTGTTAAAGCCAACACACAACGCAAGAGTACTTTGTACTATCTCTCTGGGGTTTCTTTTTGAAGTGAGGCAAAAGTTCTGGAGCTAAGTAGTGGTGATGGCTGCACAATATTGTAAATATTCTAGTATAAAACCTCTGCGGTGTATGTTGTAATATGTTTAAATTCACACGATACTTTCATTATGTGAATGTTTTTGCAGTTTAAGTGCCTACCTATCACGGAGCCTGGCACCTGTTCAGAATAAATGAGTTATGATTTCGAGGGGGAGGATCCTCTGGGGAAGGCCTTTAGATGAAAGGAGACTAAAGAGACCCAAAACTAGAGAAAAATATGATTTATATGGTAGCACGGATTCCTCCTCTTCAAACACAGATATCAGATACTATTGGGAAAACTGAATAAATCTGCATATAGAAAGATGATGATTTAATATTTTCTGTGTTAGATCTCCTGGAGGGGCCTACGGAGCTGTTGAAGAACGTCCTTGTTCTCTGGAATTACATGCTCTAGTCGTTAGGTGTGAAGCTTCATGACATCAGCAACTTCCTTTCAATGGGAGCATGTGTGTTTCCAGTATGCACAGGTGCCCGTGTGTGTGTGTGTGTGTGTGTGTGTGTGTGTGTGTGTGTGTGTGTGTATTTGCAGGGAGGAAGAACGGGTCTAAGTGGCATGATGTCAACAACAGGCTAATAGGCTAATAGCAAGTGTAGAGGGATGAAACTAGCAGGTTTGAACCATGTGTGTGTGAATACAGTGACTTTTATTTTTCCTTTTTTTTTTACTACAGATTTACCACTTGGCAACTCTTGTAACAACCACAGCAGCAGCAGAATCCCAAAGAATAAAGAACAAGCTCAGTAGGTTGTCCCAGTTTATATACAGTTCCAGTTTATTTATATTCAGTTCTGTCAATTTGACTTTCACAAGCTTGTAATTACTGCAACCACAGTCCACTGAATGTGCTTGCAGCCTAGGCATGCCAATTTGAACAGTTCAACAATAGCCCTTTTATTTTTAAAACTTAAATTTAAAAAAATTTAACGTAGACCAAAGCCACAAATGCAATTCTAGAGTTGAAACTGATTAGATAACAAAACTCCAATATTAAAGTCACTAGTATAAAAAAATCAATTTTTTACGATGTGGGAACACTGCTATTTATTCAACCATTGATTAAGCTGATTGAATTGGGCACGAATTCCACATAAAAAATCAATTTTTAAGTGAAAATTATTATAGCTGATCACCAGGTTAAGTCCTTGTCTAAGAATTTATCAAACTGTTTTTTGTGAGCTGAACCCTCTGTGTTATTGTTTCTGTTTGCTCACTTAGTTGGCTTCTATGTTGCTTTCCCCTCTAATCTGGTGTGCTCCCTCTGGATTTTCAGTCTTGATGAGTTAGGAGGTGTTGCACAGCCGAGTACACAGCCATGTGGTTTAGAGACTTCAGGATCTATGGTTTGGACATGATGAATGCTGCAGGAGGTGAGAGTGACCGCCAGGGCTTCCAGAAGTACGGGGGTGGAGGGAGGCTGCCCACCCCAACTCCGAGAAGACCCCAGAATTTTAGCCTGGACATTGGGTCCCTGAAATTATTTGTAATTTGGTGTCTCTGCAGAGAACATTTGTGAAACGGTGGAGTTGAGTTCTTTGGCATGGGCTGCATTGGTTATTAAAAAAGTCTTTTTAATAGGATTAAAACTATGCCAGGAAGATGACTTCCTCAACTCCATCCATATCTGTAGATGTGGATGATAGGAACAGGTTTAAACAATTTATCTTTAAAAAAATGAGGCAGTGCCAGGAGTGACCCAAAGTTGCTACTGAGAGAGTGACTGCTTGGCTAGAGAGAAAGTCGCCTCCGCCCTCTGTGACTCTGATCCTCAGCAGTAGGTTTGAACTCTCAACCAAAGCGGGGAAAAATAGGGGCAGAATATATTAAGTGAACAAATACACTGGTCCAGATGACACTGAGGATACGATTTTGATGATGTTAAAGGAGGCACAGAAGGAGGAACTACACCTGCCTTAATGGTGGTGATTGCTTTAAAGCCATTTCCCTCCCACCGTTTTCTACGCTTGGGGGAAAAAATATGCTTCAGGGTTTCTACAATGACAATAAATCCATTTTATATAACAAGGAAAGAGTAAAAAAAAAAAGATCTGGAGCCACAGCGATAGCACAGCAGGTGGGGTGTTTGCCTTGCACGCGGCCGACCCAGGTTCAATCCCCGGCATCCCATATGGTCTCCCGGGGAACCGCCAGGAGTAATTCCTGAGTGCAAAGCCAGGAGTAACCCCTGAGCATTGCTGGGTGTGATCCAAAAAGAAAAAAAAAAGATCTCTCAGGGGCCAGAGAATATGGTGGGTAAGACGTTTGCTTGCCTTGAGTGCAACCAACCCAGAGTTCAATCCCTGGGTTCCATAGAGTCCCCCAAGCAATGCCAGGAGTAATTCCTGAGAGCAGAGTCAGGAGTAACCCCCGAATACTGCTGAGTGTGGCCTAAGCAAACAAAAACCCCACAAAAATGACTTTACCAGGACAAGAGAAGATCATAGAGGGACTAAGGCATTCACTTGGCATAAGTTTGATCCCAGCACCACCAGGGCAGCCCTGCTGGCCCCTGAGCAGTGTTGAGTCAGCACTGTATCCTTCGCTCCTCCCACTAATGCCCATGGGAGGAGAGGAGCGAGGGCCCCTGGGTTCTGCTTAGGAGATGCCCAACACCCTTCCACCACAATTCAGTTACTTGGCACAACTTCCTTGTTCAACTGAGGCCAGAGTGCCTGGAGAGACCCCAAAGAAAGCCAAAATGATATCTGCAAGACGCAGACGACATTACTTCCCATGTCGGCAGTGCAAAGGGTTGAGGCCACCTGGGAAATCCCTGGAACTGGAACCTCTCCTGTCCCCATTTGGACAAGGCAACTTCTCCCCCACCTTCCCAGAAGTTCCTCTGTTAGTCCACTCAAGAGTTAACTGAAGGAGTGAAGTCTGACAAAACCCAGGAAATGCAGAACTTTGTGACCCTGGACTCTGGGCTCAACAGGACCAGGAGCGGAGATCTTCTGCCAATTTCCCCCCAGTCTCTGGTGACCCAGGGGTCACGCCCATAAGCCACCTCCTGCCAGCGCCATGCCAGCGCCAGATAATCTCCTCATCGGCCACCGCCCAGATCACACGGCTTTTTCTGCCCGAAGGGAGCAACAAGATGCCTGCCATAGCCATGTCACCAGATTCCGTGCCAGGCTGTTTCACTCGAGGTGCCCCAGAGGGGGACAGGTGAGAGCCCTCCCCGCCCCAAGGCTAGCAAGCAAGCTACCCCTGGCGTATTCGATATGCCAAAAACAGTAATAACAAGTCTCACAATGGAGACATTATTGGTGCCCGCTCGAGCAAACCAATGAACAACCAGAGGACAGTGACAGTGACAGTGCTTTGGGGCAGGGATTGGGTCTTGGGATGGAAACATCCCAAATTGGGTGGTGGGAAGGTGTAATGGTGGTGGGATTGGTGTTTGAATATTAACTGGAATCAAATATTGTGAACCCCTTATAAAATAAAAAATTTTAAAACATTAAATAAAATAACTTTTTTTTTTTTTGCTTTTTGGGTCACACCTGGCGATGCACAGGGATTACTCCTGGCTCTGCACTCAGGAGTCACCCCTGGCGGCGGTGCTCAGGGGACCATATGGGATGCTGGGAATCGAACCCGGGTCGGCCGTGTGCAAGGCAAACGCCCTACCCACTGTGCTATCTCTCCAGTCCCAGAATAAATCTTTTAAAAAAGAGTTAATTGAAGGAGCACAAGTCAGAAGTCTTACACCTGAGCTTTTATAGTCTTCATCAGGAGACACCCCTCTCTGGCCTGCTCCTGAGCTCTCCAGAAGGCACAGGGGACTCGTGGAGGGCCGAGATTTGAGGCACCTGGGACAAGGTAGGTGATGGTAGCCAGCAGGGAACCGTGTTTGTGCACAGATCTTGCTGGTCACGTTTAGAAAAGAGGGTGTAGCTTGGCCACATGGTTGTGTTCCTATCAGAAACACCACCGGGGGGGAAAAAAAACCAGAAGGTCCAGTGGAAGGGAATCGACCAAATTTTCCAAAGAGAGCACACAGTTAATTCTTTCTTTCTTTCTTTCTTTCTTTCTTTCTTTCTTTCTTTCTTTCTTTCTTTCTTTCTTTTTCCTACCTGTATCTTTAATTCTGTCTCCAGCACAACCAACCCTGAGCTAAAAACACGGGGCTGTCACTAGGTGTCACTGCCCAACACTTACCACTTGACTTGATTTTCCTGCTGCTCTTTAATGTACTGTCTGACCTTCTGCTCAAAGAGTGCTTCCTTCATCTGTCTTGTCTTTGAAATATCATCACCTAGGTCCATCACTGAGGGCAAGCACAAACAAAGATTGTCTGGGAAATCACGTCAAAACACACCATTTCAAATAGCAAAGTACAGTCATCGACCTGGGCTTTGTCGTGGTTCATAAATAGCAAATGTAATCATAACTTTTTATCCTATTCTCCCAGGGTCTGATTTATGATGAATCGAGTTGCTTACCTTCTCTTAAGACTTTAACCTTCAGTTTTCCTGGCTCTTGGTTCAAAACGGTTGCCACAGCAAATGGATTTGATAAATCTACAGGAAATCTCAAGTCCTTATACTCAATTTCCTGAGACCAAACAAGGAGAGAGAATTATTTTGCTTTCTTGCTGTTACTTACAATGTGTTTACCATAATGCCACTTTACCTTAAGCTTGGCAGGCTTTATTGCAGGTAGAGGTTGGGGAAAATGTACACGTGGCATTGTCTTTTCTGGAGGAATATCAATTTTCCTAGAAAGAGCATTTAATCTTTCAAATTCTTCTGGCCTGCTATGTAAAAGAGATACGAAATTAGTCTGTTATTGGGCAAGTCAAGGTTTCAATTTTTTAGGTTCCATGATAATATTCCATGATTAAACTTTTAAATCTAAACTAACAATCAGTCTGTGTGCTAAAACTTTGACCTACTAAAATAGTACAATGTCAGCATACTGTTATATCAGCAAGCTGAAGTACACACACACACACACACACACATATACACATTATATGTACACATATAAATATATTTAGTCAGTATATTACTGAGGGCCGTTTCTTCTTACAGTCTCAAAAGACATACCAAGTGGTAAAACTTGGCATGCTAGGGAAAACTCTCAGGGTCTGGTCACATGCGCTGCTAGGTTATTGATTTTCAATAGCCCAATTTTCTACATAAAATAAAATAAAAATACTTTCACTGACTTATTTTCCTAGAAACTGAATGATTGTACCCACTATTTAGAGAAAGATCTTTTAAAAAGTAACTCATTGCTTCCACAATCCAAAATCACCGCCTTGCCCCTGACTGAACTCCACTGTCTCCAGATGAACCTCACCAAGATAGAGATCTGCTGTAAATTTGTATATGTAGTTTTTGTGACTGACATCTCCAGGCTCTCTCAGGGTCAGGATGGGCTACTTCCTCTCACCTCTTTGTACCCCTGGAAGCAGCAGTCACGTACACAACCCAAAGTTGCCACCCACTATCACTATCACTATCCTCCTGTTGTTCATAGATTTGGTCGAGCGGGCCCAGTAACATTGTGAAACTTGTTACTGTGTTTGACATATCAAATTCGTCACGGGTAGCTTGCCAGGCTTTGCCGTGCGGGCAAAATACTCTCGGTAGCTTGCTGGGCTCTCCGAGAGGGGCGAAGGAATCGAACTCGGTTGGCCGTGTTGGCCACGTGCAAGGCAAACACTCTACCAGCTGTGCTATCGCTCCAGCCCAAGTTGCCACCCATAATGTACAAAAGGAGAGAGACAGAGAGAGAGAGAGAGAGAGAGACAGAGAGAGAGAGAGAGAGACTGCAAGAAGAAAGGTGCCGGCCACAGACGCAGATGGAGGTGGAGGTGGAAGTGGAGGGTGAGGTGGGCGGTTGGGCGGTGGGAGGGAAACTAGGGACATTGGTGGTGGGAAATGTATACTGGTGGAGGGATGGGTATTGGAACATTGTATGACTGAAGCCCAATCATGAATAGCTTTGTGATGGTAACTTTGGCTCTCACGGTGATTCAATTAAAAAAAACAACAACAACAGTATTTTATTAATCTATGAAATGCTAGTACCCATCATATCTCACACAGAGTAGAAATGTATTTAAAAAAAAAAGTAACTCAGGCTAGGGCTGGAGAGATAGTAGAGGGTAGGGTATTTCTGTTGCACTGGGCCAGCCAGGGTTTTTCTCCTCACCACATATGGTGCCTGGAGCCTTTCCAGGAGTGATTCCTGAGCACAAAGGCCAGGAGTAAACCCTAAAACTGCTATATGTGTCCATAAAACAAAAACAAAAAAGAAAGAGAGAAAGAGAGAGAGAGCAAGAAAGAGAAAGGAGGGTGAGTGGGAAGGAGGAAGGGAGGGAGGGAGAGAGGAAGGTGGGCAGGCAGGCAGGCAGGCAGGGAGGCTGGCAGGAAGGAAGGAAGGAAGGAAGGAAGGAAGGAAGGAAGGAAGGAAGGAAGGAAGGAAGGAAGAAGTAATAGTCTAATTGTGAGATCTACCCATCCTAGTGGTGCACGCATGCACACAAGCACACACATTCTCACAGAGGAAAATAACTAAGAACAACTCCCATGTGGCATTTTTCCATTTCTGCCTTATGTCAAAGTGACTTACTGACCGTGACATTTCTGCCCCTTTGTTGTCTCCCCAGGGTTTGGGCCATTTCCCCATGGGACTCTGCAATAGTCACTGCATCCAGGACTATTGAAACCTAGAGAAAAACTTAAACATTTTAATAGAGTTTTATACGTCTATGTAAATTCATAAAGACCGGTGGAAAAAATCTATCCCTCACAAACTTCTTTCAGTCATCTCCCATGTTGGCAGAAGCATCTATTGCTACGACATGGAGGCATTCTGTGCACTACTGTTCTATTTTAGAGTGCATTTTATGAGGCTTACAATTTCACTTTTTATGGCATTCTATTTATGACAAGAAAGAAAAGCAGACTGGAAGAAAGATAGACCCTGGCGTTTGGGAAGGTTTTAAGAACAGAAAATAATAAAAAAAAAAAAAAACCCATTCCAAAGCAGTCATACGGTAGCGCCATGTTGGGATAGCAGGTTCCAGTGAAGACACATTCGTATGGTTGAGAGTTGAACTGCGAAATCCAGAGCTGCATTTTCATCTGTGCCGTTCCGTACTGAAAGGGTTTAAATGTAACAGTCACCTTGATCTTCCCGTTAGCTGGAATGATTCCTGAGAAGGAAGAAATGAGAAGACACAACACTTTCACTTCTTGCTAATCCCATCAAAGACATGTACTCACTCCCGAGCACAAGCACACGTGTGCACTCTCTCTCTCTCTCTCTCTCTCTCTCTCTCTCTCTCTCACACACACACACACACACACACGTGCATGCATGCACATTCACATGCTACAATACATTCTTTCTATAATAACACAGTATTTTTATTATCTTTATAGTCTTTTCACTAAATACATATGAAGCCGTTTCTGAGTTTTTACAAGAATCTTAGTTACCGTCACTACATTAATGCTTTATAATAATTATTTGATTGTGTCAGTTAGGCAAGTATACACATATCAGTAAGCATTAGTGAATCAGAGATGGATTCCCAGAACTGTAAACTTTAAGTTGATTTCCAGATGTCAATATTAATGTTCTAAGCAGGTAAGAAATGCTAGGAATACAGATAAAAGTTTGCATCCAAGAGCTGGAGAGACAATAAAGTGAGTGAGGCCTTGCACGTGGCCAACATGAGTTCAATCTGCGACGCTCCATACAGTCCCACCAAGCTCACCAGGAGCAATCCCTCAGTGCAGAGCCAGGGGTAAGATTTGAGCACTGCCAGATGTGACCCGAAAGCTAAAAAGGAAATTTAAAAATTTGCATCATCCAAAAATTTTTTGGCTGTATTATTATCTTCCACCCAGATCCTCCAAATTCCAGTAGGCGGGGGTCACACCCACCACCTGGCCCCCTGGCGCCGTGTAATCCCATCAGCGGCCAAGACTCAGAGACTATAAAATCCAGATCCCGGATGAGAGCAGTGCAGTCTCTGCCCCCGCGCCTCGGTGTTCCTTCCCGGAGTCCCTTGGAGGGGAGCGGGTTGAGCTTTCCTCCCCGCCCCGGCCAGGGCTACGGCAGCCGGAGACCTCCAGAACCAGCCACCACCATGCTGAGACCACTCTCCGCACCCATGAAGGTACTGGCAGAGGGACGCAGCCACGCGGGTTCCGGGGCCGAGACCTCCACGCCTACTCGAATTGGAGTCGAGCATCTTCCACCCAGATCCTCCAAATTCCAGTAGGCGGGGGTCACACCCACCACCTGGCCCCCTGGCGCCGTGTAATCCCATCAGCGGCCAAGACTCAGAGACTATAAAATCCAGATCCCGGATGAGAGCAGTGCAGTCTCTGCCCCCGCGCCTCGGTGTTCCTTCCCGGAGTCCCTTGGAGGGGAGCGGGTTGAGCTTTCCTCCCCGCCCCGGCCAGGGCTACGGCAGCCGGAGACCTCCAGGACCAGCCACCACCATGCTGAGACCACTCTCCGCACCCATGAAGGTACTGGCAGAGGGACACAGCCACGCGGGTTCCGGGGCCGAGACCTCCACGCCTACTCGAATTGGAGTCGAGCATCTTCCACCCAGATCCTCCAAATTCCAGTAGGCGGGGGTCACACCCACCACCTGGCCCCCTGGCGCCGTGTAATCCCATCAGCGGCCAAGACTCAGAGACTATAAAATCCAGATCCCGGAACCGCGCGGCCGCAAGTGCGGCCGCGCGACATCTTATTATCTCATTCCTACTTTGGACAAACTTGCAGGCTGTCGAATGTAGCCTGCCCACAGGGCAGAGTCTGGCAAACTCCCCGTGGCCTACCAAATATGCCAAATACCAGTAACAATGATGGGTCTCATTCTCCTAAAGAGCCCTGAATATAATCTCAGGGCTAGGATGAAAGAGACGTTACTGGGGCCTGCTCGAGGCAATCGACGATTAACAGGGTGATGAAATGAAAAAAAAATGAAAATTATCAAAATAATATAGTTCACTATTTTTTTTGGTACAATTTGGCTTTCTCCTTGCAAATCTTTAGGACAGACTATTGTTCTCTTGGTAATCTGTCTCTTACATTGAGAGGGAGAGAGGATCAATGTACCAGATAGGAGAACTAGTTCTCATTTCTCTGTCTCTCTGTCTCTCTCTCTCTCTCATTTCCATTGAGAGACCTTGGATTTGCTATCTAGAGGATTCTTCCCATCCCTGTGCCTCTAGCCTGGCCACTGGCCTCGCAAAAGCCTGTTTGTACCCTTGTCAAGACTTAACCTAGCATCTATACCCTCTTTTGAATCAAGGGCTACTTGCCTTGTTCTCTGCACTCAAGCCCATGGACTGTGACTTAGCCTTCCAAGTATTTACTGAGCACTTATTTAGTGGTGCATACATTTTTTAAATTTGTAGTGTCATTTATTTTTGCTTGCACTCTTTGCCAATGGAGTTAAAACACTAAAGAATTGTGGTATCTTTCAGGTGTCAAAAGTTCTAGGTCTGGGCCTGAGATAAAGTGGGCGGGATGCTTGCCTTGCATGTTGCCAATCAGGTTCGATTCCCAGCAATCGTATCATCCCTCCAGCCTTCCAGGAATGATGCCTGAGTTCAGAGCACAGAGTAACCCCTAAGCACCAATGGGTGTGGTTAAAAACAAAGAAACAAAGTTTAGTGTCTTCTAATTTTAACAGGTGTGTTTAATTTTTGAGGACTTTTGGGGCAGTACCAAATAAATTTCACTAGTATTTTTGTTTTATTTCTTTAAGAATGCTATCGACAGGGGTTTTAACAACGGTCATTAGGATACTGGACTCATTCTTGTGTGTGCGATGTCCTTGCGTAGTTTTACAATCAAGGTAATGGTGACTTAATAAAATTTGTTTGGAAAAATTGTATTTTATTGAAGAGTTTGAAAAGAATAAGTATTCCTTTTTTTTTTCTTTTTAAACTTTACTATAGAAGCCACCTGGCCTAGGCTTTGTTTTTGGAGTTTTTTTTTTTATTTAAAGACTTTTTTAAAAAAATTTTTTACTGTACTGTACTCGATTTCATGGAGACACCATGAGGTACAGTTGTAGACTTACAAATTTTGTGCTTGGGTTTCAATTATAATATGATCAAATACCCATCACTCCACTAGTGCCCGTTTCCCACCACCACGGATCCCAGTATCCCTCCCACCCCCCACCCCCCCCATTCCACCCTGTCTCTGTGGCAGGGCTTTCCCCTTTGTTCTCTCTCTCCTTTTGGGTGTTGTGGCTTGCAAAAGAGGCAATGGGTGACAATCATTCTGGTCTATAGTCTACTTTCAGCATACTTCTCCCATCCTGGGAGGATCCTCCCAACACCATTTATTTGGTGCTCCCCTCTCTATCTGAGCTGCCTTTTCCCCTAGCATGTGTGGCTGGCCTCCAAGCCATGGAGCAAAATTCCTGGTACTAATCTCGGCCATTCTTGGGTGTTAGTCTCCTATTTTGTTACTTTATGTTCCCCAGATGAATGCAATCTTTCTATGTCTATCCTTCTCTTTCTAACTCATTTCTCTTAACATGATACTTTCCATGTAGTACCACTTGTATGTAAATTTCATGACTTCATCTATTCTAACAGCTACATAGTACTCCATTGTGTAAATGTACCAAAGTTTCTTTAACCAGTCATATGTTCTCAGGCACTCAGGTTTTTTCCAGATTCTGGCTATTGTAAAGAGTGCTGCAATGAACAAACAAGTGCAGATGTCACTTCGACTATACTTTTTTGCCTCTCCGGGATATATTCCCAGGAGTGGTACTGCTGCGTCAAATGGGAGCTCAATTTCTAATTTTTTAAGAATCATCCATACTGTTTTCCAAAAGGGCTGAACCAGTCGGCATTCCCACCAGCAGTGAAGGAGGGTCCCTTTCTCACCACATCCGCACCAGCACCGGTTGCTTTAGTTCTTGTGGATGTGGGCCAGTCTCTGTGGTGTGAAATGATATCTCATCGTGGTTTTCATCTGCATCTCCCTGATGATTAATGATGTGGAGCATTTTCTCATGTGCCTTTGAGCCATTAGGATTTCTTCTTTGAGAAAGTTTTCTGTTAATTTCATCGCCCCATTTTTTATGGGGTTGAATGTTTTCTACTTGTGGAGTTCAACCAATACTTTGTATATCCTCGATATCAACCCCTTGTCGGAAGGGTATTGGGCGAATATCCTTTCCCAATCTGGAGACTGTCTTTTTATTTTGGTCACTGTTTCTTTTGAGGTGCAGAAGCTTCTTAGTTTAAGATAGTCCCATTTGTCTATCTCCGTTTTCACTTGCTTGGCCAGTGGTGTGACATCTTTGAAGACACCATTAGCTTCAATGTCATGGAGGGTTTTGCCAACTTTGTCTTCAATGTACCTTATGGATTCCAATTTCATTACCTCTATGGGTCTCTTTCATTGTTCTTCTTTTTCCTTGATTAAGTTTTGTAATTTTGCATATTTCTATGAATTTGTCCCCTTTTTCTAGATTGTCTGATTTGTGGCTACATTTCTGTGGTATTCTCTGTCTTCTCTCTCATTTCGACTTTATGTATTTTCTTTCTCCCCCTCTTTTCAAAGAATCTGTACTCGATTTCATTGATCTTTTTGATTGTCTATTTGACAACAGCATTTTGTATTTGTCTGATTAATTTCTGCTTTCCTTTATAATTTCCTTCCATCTACTGACTTTTGGCTTTGTAATTTCTTCTTGTTCTAGTTCCTTAAAGGGTAATCCTAGGTTTTTATCCATATATCCCAATTAAGCTTAATAAAAGCAGGGGCCTGGTCACTAGTGTGTTCCCAGCTCAATAAAGATAGGCTGAACAAGTGAATGAACACAGACTTCAAAGCCTCCATCAACCTCCAAGACACATAAAATACTCATCTACTCCTTCACCCTCCTAAACTGCTGTCAGCCCTTCACACTCAGGGACTATCCGAATTGCTCCATTCCAAGTTTCTAAGTCTCCCAACTAGTCATGATGGAAGATGCTAAGCCTCAAAGCTCTTTTATCATCATAACATAGTGCTTCAGAAACAAGCTTTTGTCCATTTCCTGAGATCCACTAAGTGATCTTAGAACAGAGAAGAGTAAGTTAGCAGGAGGGCTCAGTTCTATTTCCATCAACTGAACGCCAATGGAATAGGAACTTTGTGATGTGCTGGAGCTGA